ATATAGTAAAATTAAGGAATTTTTTTTTCGTTCTTTGCGTGTATCGTGAATATTGTGGTTGTAAGTTGTAAGAAAGAGAATGGTGAGGGAGAAGGAAAAGTATGATATTTAATTTCGATGGATTGTGTCATCTATGATTATTATGGTCTGAAAGCTAATATTCGTGATTGGTTCATGGGTCAGGATTATATGTTTTCCCCATTCCTCGAAGAATAGCACTTGTGCTTTGCGGTCTATTATGTTAATGTCAGTCTATTAGGATGCTGTCTAAAGTTTTACTTTGTAATTGAATGATATTTTTCGACTTTTTAGATAACATTTTTTTTGAACAATCACTATGAAAAAGCGGAATTTTCGTTCCAGCAAATCAAGTTCATGTGATGTTGAAAAGCATAGCGTCTATCGTCTTCGCGCACATGTTCCTTGTCGTTGTATTTCTAATCGAAGTTGTTCATTATCACTGTCAAGAGTTTCAGTTGCTGATATTGGTAAAACAACTTCTGCTGATCAAAGTAGTGTTGATTCTAGAAGTACGTTGTCTAAAAAGTTAACGATTTTATTCTTTCTATTTAGTCTTAGAAAAATATGGTACACAAGTAAACGACGATAATGATGAAGAAGGAAGAAATGATGTTGATGAGGATGACTGTTCGTCTTCCACGTCTTCAGGGACCAGAAAATTGGTCATCGATGAGTCATATGAAGATGAACAATTAGAAAATGAACATGAAAAAGAAATCGAAAAAGCTTTTGAAGTTACCTGTCATCGACTTAAGGAAAAAAGTAATTGTGAACAGTCGTCACCATCGTCAAGTGCTATGCGGGTAACAATATCAAAAAAGAACCGCGTTGCATCAAATTTATCAAACAATTCAGGTAAAGTTTTTACATCGTCAAGATTGAATATGCACATTTCTTTTCCAAAATTGCGCATGAAATTTTCGAATTTCTTGATTTCAATTTGAATAGGTGATGAAGCTGAAAATTTACTGAGCACAGGCATTAATAGAAGTATTTGCTCAAAAACATCATCATCATCACGTCGACAAAAAAAATCTTTTAGTACGTTTATATACAAAAAACTTCAACATGTTCTACGTCAAAACATACAACTAAGAAAGAAAATAAAATATTACAAAAAACATTGGATGCGAAAGTAAGTTTTTTATTTCTATATGATATTAATGCAAAATTTTTTCAATAGACCAACTGGAGATATTGCAGCTTATTTAAATGAACTGGGCACGACATTATCGAACAATGTGCATTCAAAACAACAACAAAAAAAGAAAAAAATGGAAAACACAAAGAAAAAAAACAAAATAAAATCTGTAGCACGTGTATTAAATTTGACTCCAGATGAGTTATATTTTTTAAAACATCCAAAAGACATCACCAAAACATGTCGCGCCCTGATCAAACTTATCTACCCGGATCCATCTCAACGTGCTACAATGCTAATTACAAAAATACCAATTAACAAACTTCGAGCTATACACAGTAAAAAACAACATCAAAATAATATTATACTATTCTTTCTTACTATTCTAGAGTATGTTAGATTTGTGCATCGGCAACCCAATGTAAAAACACGTTTATTAAACAACGCGATTGGAAATGTGTTTTCAGCAGCTAAATATCAACAAAAAAACTTACATCAGTACCACCATAATTATACATAAAACATATTAAAATTCTTTATTATCATATACCTGTTGGCATGTACATATATACAAATGTTCATATATAGACATCACCATTGTTTTTTTTCCACTAAGTCTCATATTAAAAAATATGCATTTCTTTTTGTACTTTTTCACATATGTTTCTCATTAACGTATATTTCCTATTATAATTTATGAACATAAATATTGCTCTTTTTATAACTCTATACATATACATATTCAAGTTTTTTTTTCTCTTCCTTCTAACGTGTATACACATACACATCTTTTGTTACATGCATTATTAATGCAGCCATATGAAATAAAATCGAAATAGTATAACAACGAGCAATTCCTACGTAATAAATATTTCCAATACATACCCGAGTGAGAG